CAAAACTCCCTTTCTTCATGATACTTTACCATGCCTTTAACATAAACACTGACACCCAGATGCTACAAGAGATTGCAAGAATAATGCACACAAAACCACGAATCTTAAATTTAGGTTAAACAGGACGCCCTATGTTTGATTTATGTAGGCTAGGGCAGAGTTTACCAGACTAACCCCCTTCCAGACTAATGGTATCTCTGAAAAGAGCAGGCTGTACAACAGTGTTGATAATTTACTGATGTGAAGAAATAAACAAAAAAAGCCAACAAAACCAGACGTTTGATGACTCATAGTACATGTGCTCCTCTTTACATGCCAGTGTTAGGTCTTCATTCTGCTCTTGCAGATCCCTCCACCATTGAGCACGGCTGCATAGAGCACAGTATGTGTAATCTTAGCCCAGCAGAGACCAAAGCTAACCTTCGCGCTGTGGAATATGACATAACTGTGGCACAGTCCTTGTTGTGTATCAATCCTTGTCTGTATTTCAGTTTGTTAGGGAATTATGTAGAAGTCTAGGATTGCCCTCCAAGTTCAATTTGCTGTAAGGAGAGATGCAATACTTTATTCCATAGTATCATTGTCCTCTAAGTGTTGGAAAGGGCTGTTTGTGAACTGCTTTAAGAGGCTGTCAGAGGAAAACTTCATGGTCGTTTCTCTGGCTTCTGCATCTTCCTGGGGTAGCTTTTTCAGGAAAAAATAGAAATATTTAATTAAGGATATTTAAAAAAAAAAAGAAAGGAAATTTGTTGCAAATGTTTGAGTCTATTTTGTGTTGGCAGGGAAAGTATGTGTTTTGAACTTCCAGTTTGTGTAGTTGAGAGGAGTTTTTGTGGACTTAGATTCCTCAGGTTCCTACTACTGAAGAAAGGATTATGTTAGGTTCTCTGTCTTTGCACAGAAGGTCTTAGGTAAACAATTCTGTTGAGAAAGGAGTAGGATCTGTCTCTTCCTTCCAGGAGAAAGATCTGTAAACATATGAGATAAATATACTGTGGGAAGACGTCATTTTAGTCCCCTGGCTAGTGATACGGTGGTGTGTGTCTTTTCCAGTTATATACTAATGAGGTAGCTCTGTGGTTGTGAAGTCTCTTTGCCTATCTAGGTCTCATTTGTGCCCTCCCTGAAAAAAATTAATCTTTTAACTCAATATTCCATGCTTAGACTTAGATTGATGACCTTATAAATTTAAAAGCATTCAATTTGGAGACAAATCTGTACAATCATGCAGTTCTAAAGTTTAATAACCTGCTCAGGAGGGACTTCCAAGTCAACTTGTTTGTAACTCTTTGTCATTTGATATTGTGGCTACTGTCTGTAATGATCAGGTTTTTGTAAATAGTAGAAATTGTTGAGAACTTAAGTATTGTGGAGTGCAACCATCAAATTAACTGTTTTTATCAGTTAGAAACATTTTACTGTCTATCGTGGAAATGACCAGAGGCAATGAATATCTTTAGGAAGAGTCATGGTTAAAGTGGATCATAATTTACAATAGTTCTTTCGGTGTTGGATGGGAATTTTTGTCTGTAGTGTTTCCTACCATGATACTCGATTTAAGAATTGTCCTTCTGGGACTGTAATGAGTTCCTACCTTCCCAAGGACCTCAGATCGATTTATAACTGACCTTTCAAAGAGTGTATCAAAGGATTTAAAGAATTTCCTAAACAACACTTCTATTGAGCAGCCTCTAGAAAATAAAGTTGAAGCAATTGCATTTTGATCGCCTGGATCAGACGGTGTGCAGACCAGTTCGGGGGCGTGGTTTAATATATGTATCTTGACACTTCTAAATAGGACTAAACGCCTTTGTGGTTGGTTGTTTTTTTGTGTTTTTTTTTTTTTGCTTTAGACTTTCTCATGTTTTGTTCCCTGCCCTCCACTTTTTTTTTTCTGAGGTGTCTTTTCCAACAACATGTAGCGATTCAGGGACAGGCTGGTAATATCTGCCTACCCTCCTCCCCCAAACTACAGCCTGTCAACAGGGTTATTTTATTGAGGCATCTGCTGTCTACTATGAACTTACATGATCTTCTGTGGTCCTTATGGTATTTACGGTGTTTGAAGTAAAGCAATTATCTTGAACTTCAAATGTATGGTGTAAATCTTGATAGATATTAAATTGAAACTGGTTTAAAAATCATGCCACAGGTTGTTAAACTACTAAAGCTAAAAGTTCTGGTGTTGATGCAATTATGGTGGCACAGTTTGTTTTATTCGTAGAACTGGAATAAATTATTGCTGTGTGATTTTATTGTGCTGTAGAGTTGTCTTGCTTCAGTTGTGCTGGGTTAGTTAAAGATAGTTAAAGACAAGGCTTTAAAAAGTTAAGAACACTATCGGACAAACAAATTTTCCAAAATCACTTGATGGTTCCCATGGTACCTTTCATAACATTCCCAGGACAAATGTGCTATCTGTCAAGAAGGGATTGAGCCCATGAAGACAGGTAGTGCTGATACAACAGAACTGACTTTCTAGTTACCTTATTTATTACCATGGTCACACATAATTTTCATCTCTTGCAGATGTTTTTATTTTATGATTCCCATTATAAGTATGGAAAATGGATGTATGTGTAGAAGATGATACCTTTTGGTTTTGCTTTAAATGATGAGTAACAAAACAGATTAATGAGGAGGTTTTTCATTTGAGAAAACATGTCAAATTAAGATAGATCACATTGCTAATGAAATGGACTGGTGATGTATGGTAGGAGAGATACGATCTCTGTTACTTTAATGTCTAACTGAAAGCGGCTAATGCAGGGATCCCTTTGATATTCTAGGGAAGGTAAGAAGTGATTTGATTAGTTTGAATTCCTGTTACTTGCTTTTAACCTTAGGTCTTTAGTCTCTTAACCACTGTTGGGAGTATTCAGATGCTGTGTGCTGTGCTTTTTTTTAAAACTTCTAGGTAAATTTTGGTTAATGGTACTTCATTTTATTGAGCATCAGCTAAATACAGTGTATTAGCTGTGCCTCACTGCTGGGCTTTTGTATCTTGGGAGTATAGCTAAGTTTGTAGTGAGGAAAAAGAAAGAGTAGGTTTGACTCTGAATCTGGCTATCAGCTTGGGGCTAGTATCAAAAAAAGCTGTCCTCACTGTGTCAGTTCCTTAAATTAGGCTTTTTGGATTTTATCCTCAGCATGTCACTGTTATTGCTTTGTTGCTATGATACAATACTTACTCATGCAATCCGCTGTAGAATATTAGAAGATCTGAGCTGAAATGTTATGTAACTTACAAATGTTTTTACAGCCGATGCTCATTATTTTGCAGAGTGTAACAATTCATGTCTTTGTAGGTATCTGAGTGAAATAAGCATCTTGCAAGATTTTTTTTTAAAAAGAAGAATGGTTAAAATTGCAGAATTAACATTCAAAAGTATGAATTGTTCTTTATGAGGGAGTAGTAATTGCTAGCTTTTTCAAAAGCTCACTGAAGTTGTTATGCTCAGTTAATAGGATCATAACTGTCAGATGGGGAAAGGGAATACAATACAATATTCTGGTGTTTGAACTTTCAGGTCAGAGCGAGCAGTTGGGATTACAGTGGAGGCGTTTCAGTCCATTTTAGCAATTACTTTTTGCTTATGGAGACGAAAGAATTCTATCAGATAATTACTGAATATTAAAACCACTGTTGACTGTTGTTGTTCCAGCCACTAAATGGAAGGTGTTTTGGTAAGAAACTTGAGAAACTGGCATTATCAGAGAGTGTTTGAGTTGCTAAAGTTACAAACTTAAAATGAAGTTTGCTTAATTAGAATAATCCTGAAACAAGAGAAGCATGAGATCTTTTTGGGATTTGTTGGAATTTTTAAGTGAGACTTAAGATTTTCAATACTTAACTGTTACAAGGCAGTTGCTTTTTTCTTCTTTGGATAACTTCCCTGTGATGAAACAGCAGTGCTCATATCAATACTGCAGTGAATGAATGAAGCTAAGGGATTAGTGTTCTGGCTATAGACAGTTCTTGAAAATTCTTCAGGGGGAGAGCATTCCTTATTTGCAGATGAAATTGGAAATAAAATTTTTATCCAAACAACTGATATCCCAACTGACCGATAGATGAGGTGATGCTGTGTTGCTGGAGTGGCTTAGAACCCCAACAATTAAAAACAAGAACAAAAGACACGTTAAACCAATTTTTCGTTTAAAACCATGGATGCTTTTGTTGTGATCATGCAACTTTTGAACAGTTACAGTACTTTAAGGATGTACTAAATCTTTGAAATGTACTGTGCTTAATAATCCATCTTTTTAGAGTTAATGTGAAATACTAATGGAGGAATTTTGCTTATCAGCTTACAGAGAAACAGCACTCTAAAATGAAAATGCTAAGTCATAGCCAAACACGTTGTCTTAATAGGCTAAAAAAGCTGGAAAACCTTACATGACTAAGATTGTAATAAGTTGTTTAGAGCAAAGCATGAACATTCAGGATTAATGCTTCTGAAATATTAGAGTTGATTCTTAAGAGAAACGTTCATCACATGATGTCAAAAGTATGTGAAGTATTTTGCATTGGGGTAAAAAGACAAGGTTCCTTCAAAGCAGATTTTACAGCTTTTAAGCAGGTTACATAATGAAGGATTAGGGAACAGAATGAGACAAATCGGATGAATGAAAGGTTAGTATGATGCACTGCTGCTGTGTATGACTTTTGGTGAGGGAGAGTTGGTACTTATTAATGTCTGTGTATTTCAAATAGAGTTAGTTCAGGAACTTGTTTTCCATAAATATATTTACTGCTCTACGTTTATCCATTATTTCTTGTATGAAACACAACTGTGAATGGTGGGTCTTTCATTCTAACATACAGATATTTTCGGTTTTGACAATATTGCTTATTAATTTGGTCCCTATAGAGCATATTATTCCCCATAATAAAAACCTGACAGCTATGCAAATTTTAATCGACAGAACAGATTTAGAAATCCTGAGTTTGCTTCTACAGACTTAAGTGTTGGTTGGTTTGTTGCTTTCTCTTGTAGATGCCACCTTCAATGAACAGCAAGATCTTTTTTGTCAGAAGTTGCAACAGTGTTGTGTACTCTTTGACTTCATGGACTCTGTTTCAGACCTGAAAAGCAAAGAAATTAAGAGAGCAACACTGAATGAACTGGTTGAATATGTTTCAACAAATCGTGGAGTGATTGTTGAATCAGCTTATGCTGACATAGTGAAAATGGTAAGTAGAATGCCTTTGTCATATTTTGAATTTTAATAAAAATCTTAATCAGTTTACGACTCTGATGGCATCTGACTGAGAATTGCTGTTACTTATTCTGCTTATACAAGGTAATATAATTCATTAATGATAACTTGGCTTACAAGGCTGTTTAGAAGGCTTGTGAAAACAAACAGCTCGTAAGTTTTAATTATTAGCTGAAACATGATGCATTCAGATTAATTAAAATAAAAGAACCTTTATATTGCAGATGCTTGCATTCTGGGTAAGCTTTGAAGTTGTCATTCAGAAAATGGCAATGTTTCGGTGCTCCCTGTGTTTATTTAAGAATGGCAGCGGAGTGACAGGCTAAAGTTTTCTGGTAAAGCATTTCTGTCAACAGAAAGGATTATCAGTGTCAGGAAAGCAACTCTATTTTGTAAATACTTTATATGGCTGTTTGTTACTGTTTTGGCCTTGGAGAGCTGTGCTAGAGTAGTCTTAAGTGGGAGTTGTAAACCACAGGATGACTTGTACTGTGCAATTTCTACAAATGGCTTGTTGAATAAGCAACAAAATATTTGTGGTCATTATCTGCTGACTTTCCCAGGTTTTTAATACGCATTTTCTAATCCCGTGTAAGTGATGTGTTAGATATGCCTATACCCCATGTACAGGGAATGCACCTGAAGGACATTTGGCAATAATGGAAAATATTTTTAAATTGTTTTTTCTAGAAATTTGAAATGTAAAAAGAATGTGTTTGGTGCCTGTGCGTTTAGGCTAATGGTTCTCTTAACTTCAGTTAATTTTACGTAGGTGCAGTGCTGACTTTGAAAGTAACTATTGGGAACATAAGCAGACCAATTAAAACACATGGCCTATGACTTTTGTAGTTTTCTATACAGTGCAACCTATTTTTTCTTAAATTTTTGTTTGGTTTTTGTTTGGTGTTTTTGTCTGTTTTCTGGGAAAGCTGATATGGAAGATCAGATCTTTGCTATAACAAGCATAGAAATTTTGCCATTGTACTCAAGGACTAGGATTATTGAAACCCTTTTAATCATTTTGACTGTTTCACCAGATGCTTAAGTTATACAAAAGATCTAGGACACTGGGGTTTTTTGTATAGTTTTGTTTTTTAAAGGGCCTGTGTTTCATCCTAGATGTCTTTTACACAAGAAAATAATGGACAGAGTATGTCCACCTCTTCTTTGGCTTTTTTTTTTCTGCTGGTGGCAGCAAGCCTGAATCCTTGCAGTGTTTTCTTAACGCTGTGTGTCCTCTATAGCCTCTTGTTAGAAGAAAGACTATACTAACTAGCCTATCATACTTGTTGAAGGGAGATTTATATTGGAGTTGTTTTCTTTTCTTGAAGATAAGGTGTTGTCTAGCTGTTCTTTTGAGGTGGTTGTTGTGGTGCAAATGATTGCGTTCTATGGATGCTTGGTTTTCCTTCTATGACAAATTTCTGTCTCCTTTTCTCCCCTAAAATGATAGAAAATGAAGAAGGCCTTAAATGCTCAGTAAGAGCTTTTTCAGAGCTTGAGACAAAAGATCTCTCCAAGCCTGAATAGTATTTCTAGTCTCCTTGGCAACTGGCAACAGAAAAGGTCTTTGCCATGAATTAGGACGGAGTACCGGCTTTCAGAAAGAACCCTGGATGGGTCTCTCCCTCCAAACAACATGTGTGTCAGACTTGAGGCCTTTCTTTGTAGCAAAACTTCTACGAGATTTAAAAGATACTTTAATTTTTTTTTTTTTTGACTCTTCACTGTTACTACGTTAAAAGAAAAAATGTTTGAGTTTTTTGCAGAGTTTGAAAGGTAATGGTTTTGGGACAAAAAAGTAGAAATTTGCCTTAATGAAACCAAACTATCCTGTGACTGTTAGTAAAGGATGAACAGACTACACAAATTCCCTGAAAAAAGCCAGAGCAGGATCAGTGGCAGAAGTGGAGCCAATTTCTTTCCAAAGCCCCTTGTCTTTCCCTCGGCCTGGGATATCTTTCCTCCAGCTTGCAGAGGAAGCAGCCTAGTTTCCTTGGAGTCACCTGAATCTTGGGGAGGGACAATAACAGGTGTCAAGAGGGGAAAAAAATGTTGTTCCTGACCAGTGCATAGGCAAGGTCTGTGCAGGTGAGGAGGTCTCCTGGCATTCCTTCCCTTCATGTGGTCTCTGTTGCCGTGATAGCTCCTGGGCTAGTACCACACAATAATGGCTTATGTAGTTGTCCCTGCTCTGCTTGGTTCCTGAGCTAGCGAGCACTCCTTGAAATGATACCAATGCCTTTTCAAGCCATCAAGAATGGAAGAGGATCATTTAAAAAAAAAAAAAAAAAAGTCTTTGTTTAAGCAGATGCACAGGGCAGATGCTGTAGGTTATCTTTTGGAGCCCCAGGCAACTTGATTTTTTCCTATAATTTCTTTGCCAAAGGCTTTGCATTAATAACCGAGGAAGAGTTTTGCTTGTGAATAGTTTTGAAGGATAGCACAGCGGTCTGAGCACCTCCGTTTAGGTCATCTAAAACTAGTGTCTTCTCTGTTTGGAAATTCTCATTTGAAAGTACTCTGAAGCTAGCAGCAAATCAGGGATTTGCATTGTGAATGTTTTAAGTTTTAAAACTTCCTGGGAAGTTAGAATGTTCTACCTTTTATCAGGTTTGGGAGCATAACAGGAATGTCCCTCCAGTACACATTTCTGCTCCTTGTGCCTGCCAGCCTCTCCTCATTCCCCACCAGCATATAAAATTCCAGCGTAAATGAGATTGTCCTGGCAGTTTGCACAAGCTGTGAATTCAGAATTTCAAAAAACATCAAGTATCCCTATCTGCATGTTCAGAAATAGGAATTGAATCTAGTATCTCTCCAGATGCTTATCTCCTTGGGAAGTGTGCAGACAATAAAGAACTTTTTTCTTTTTCTTTTTTGTTTTCATAAGATATAATTGCTGTACCTTAATACATTAACTGGCACATTTTGAGGTGTCACTTTTACAAAACTTTCTGAGATTTAATGTAGAAAGCTAATGGTGGGTTTCTCTGGAAACCTGTCCAGCTGTAAAAGCCTTTTATGGTTTGTACTCAAATAAGTACAGGACCCCACTTACAAAAGAAAATAGAAGTTTTAAATAACATGAGAGATATAGAGAAGAATTGGCCCATAGAAAAACAATGGGGGTTTTAACCACATTTTTGATTAATACTATTAGCAAGACATTAGAAAGAAGCAAATGAGACAGGAAGCAGAAGTATTTCAAGCATAATGAAGTGAATGAACCAGTTCTTTAGGGAGACAGACTAGTACATAAAAATAGTATACAGTTTATTCTAAGTTTCGTATCTTCTCAGGAGACCAGTGATGCTGGTAGAAGTACTGAACATGCAGAAAATCAAGAACTAGTTTTCTAAAGATCTGGCTGAGAGGCTTGCTGTTTGTTTCTGCTGTAGAAGTATGTTCACTAGGTTGGTACCTGTGTTTTGGACTTGAAATGTCTGCATTCTGTACTCTGGAGGTTCTGTGCTAAAGGGTTGTCTGGTTCAGTTCAACAAGATGCATCTAGAAATAAAATGATGCATTTTCAAGAGATGTTACCAGAAGACCTGTAAGTAGAGGTAGGGAGTTTCTGTAGGGGACTGATTTGTGTGTTGGGTGCTTTTGTTGAATGCCTAATAAGAGAAGACAATAATGAATAACAGAACCGGGATTGTGCTCTTCGTTTTCAGGCTTGATTAAAATTCGTATTCTCTGACTCCTGTTTTCCCCCTCATCCCCCCTGCAGGCAGTTTCTCTTGTGCTCCAGAATCCCAAGGCCCTTGTGTTTACAGCATTAAAGGGCATCTGTATGGTTTGGGGGGGTGGTGGGGGGGTGTTTTCTCTGCTGTGCAGTAAACTAGGAGACTGCTGTAGTGCCCGTCCATACAGAACACCATTGCCCTTCTACTCTGGAGCAACAGGGTCTGCAGCTTTGCCCTGTGCCAACAGGAGACGGTGACAGTACAGATACTGAAGCAAATAGGAGGAAAGGAGAAGTCGGTTTATGCAATAGCTTATATCTTGTGTAATGAGGCAGCTGATTCTTCTATACAGAGCCAGCGGTGACTTCAGGATCTCTTAAAAGTCCTTTTGCAGGATTCTTCAAACACGTTGGAGACTCCATGGAAGCTGTGCAGTAGCATTTGCCGCAAACTGTCAAACATTTTCTTTTGTGTTTAGTAGGCTTGGGTGGTTGGCAGCTATTTGGAACAGATTTGATTCAAAAGACTAAGGAGTCTGAAAGATGATTGGAAAAGTTCAGCTAAATGTGTTCCTGAAAAAACAGTAGAAAATGCAGAGACAAAATTAACTCCATGATCTCTTTCTTTCCTGTTAGAGATGTAAAATTCAGTGTGTTACATCTGGCAGAAGAGACGATGTTTATTTTTCTTTTGACATCTGAAAGATTGGTCTTCTATCCAGACTTCTATATACTTCAAAAATCCCTAAAGAAACACTTTTAAACTTGCCTTTTTGAAATTGACTTGATATGACTGTATCAGGCTTTAAGTAACTATTTTTCTTAGTTTTTTGAAGTTACTCTGTGTTAAATCAGAAAGTTACAATTGTTATTTATTTCTGACTTCCTAAACCCTTGAAATACCTTGAAATTTTGCAAGGTGAAAAATTCTAAACAGTTCTTCAGTTCTTACTTGAAAGTGAGAAATACCTTGAAATTAAAGTGAAGAACTCTAAAATTAGATATATTTTTGGGATTGTCTGCCTTGCACATGAAGAGAGCTCTCTTTAAATCATAATTGGTTAATTATACTGTATTTATTGTCATATAAAACCTCAACTTTCAGTGTCATATAGTTAAAGAATGGTCTTTATAAAGGGAAAATGAAATTTTCTTTTAACAGTCATGGTTTCAGAGAAAAGTTTTTGAAATATAACCATTTCTAGCTACAAACTTGCAAATCAGTTGAGACAAAAGTTACTTTTTTATTTTTCGTTGACCTGTTTTAGACTTTTGGCTGGTTTGGATTTAGCAGTTTTGAAAAAATAAAAGTGATTTTATTATACTACTTTTTCAAAAGATGGTTTTGTTTCATGTGGTTTTAGGATAAAAGCAGTACGTTGCTGAGTGTGATCTGTGGAAGCATAAGAAAATGATACAATTAAACAGGTTTTTTTCTCTTGCAGATTAGTTCTAATATTTTCAGAACGCTTCCACCTAGTGATAATCCAGATTTTGATCCAGAAGAAGATGAACCAACTCTTGAAGCCTCATGGCCCCACATACAGGTATGCAACTCCTTTATTTTTCAAGCCTTCTTGTAAGGCAAGTACTGTCAATGGATACTTGAGTCATTTTGTGCCTCTGGTAAGAACGTCAACATTGCTTTTGTAATACAACAGAGTTTCTGTACTTGTGAGGAGGGGGGAAAAGTGATGCTTTTCACTTATAAATAATGGCAGTATGTAAGTCTTCCAAATTGCTTAAATACCTTTATGTTTGTTAACAGAGTGATTGCACTGTTAAAGTGTGATATAAGTGTGGCTATTTTAGGTAATTATGCTCTTTACTTAAAAGATTTGTTTTCTGCACTTGAGCAATTTAATGTCATTTCAATAAAATAAGTGGATGTTAACAGTTTAGTTTCTTGTGACAGTAACAAAAAGTGGAGTAATAGCCTTCATTTGTCTTTTGATCAAGATATCTATATCTCCTCATTCTTCTCATCCTCTTCCCTCCCTTCATGCAAAAACTTTACAATATAGGCGTTGTTGTTTGGTAACAGTTGGTTAGTTATTCTATTGTTGCACTCCTGTGCCAATCTCGTGGGGCTTATAGCATTGTTGTATCAGTCATGTGATTGACTTGCGATACTCATGATTTTTTTTTTCATTTAGCTGTTAAATGTTGAACAAACCTAAATCACTTGTAATTGTCCAAGTTCATCATCTCAAGTAGTTCATTGCCGAATTTATAAAGTAGTATCTGTTAAATAAAAGCTATGCAGCAACTCCTAGTAGTTTGTAGGTGATTAATAGCTACTGCACATCTACAAACTATTCTCTCCTCTCTCTTAGAGTTAAAATGCTTCTCTATCCCTATAATATTAAAGTTCTAGTGTATCAACAAATGCTGTTATTTAAAAACTGGACTTCTAGTATGGGCTATTAAAAGTACACATTTGCAATAGTGTTTGAGACTTAAAGCAAGTAAGAAACAAGTTATAAAAAAAATTACTCTGCAGGTTAAAGGCTGTGATAATTATCTTACTTGCATATGGCTCATTCTAACTCATAGGAGAAATAGCTATAACTGAACTAGATGAGAGGCTTCATTTTGTAGGGGTGGGAGGGTGCAAGGGCTATGCAAATGTCTCTTACAGTCAGGAGCAGCATCAGCTGACTTTAAAATGCCCCTGTCTCTTAGGAGTAAAATTTGTAAATGTTAGGTCAGTTCACTTTGGGTCATAAGTAAACTCTAATTCTTTTTATAGAGAGAGACGTGTGGTTTCTGCGAGCAGTTCACTTGTGCTCTAGGCTTGTCTGAGAGAATGTGAAAGAGGTTTGTAGCCCATGGTATTTGAAATTTTATTTTCAGCTTTTTCGTTTGCCTTTTTCTAAATGAGTTTTTGCCAACATATCTGATCGTTGTGGAATAATTCCCTCTCCTGCATCAGTTGTTCATCCTGTCCTTTCAATGGATTGCTCATTGCAGCACAATGGAAACAGTCTGTGTTTTCCTCTCCTTTCTTTTACAGCTTTTACAGCTACTGGATCGTAGAAGACTGAGTTTGATAATTTACTAATTGCCTTTCAGGAGCACAAAGCTTCTGGAAGTGTCAAATTTTGTGTATGGAGGAAGGGAGTGTGCACCCCCATTCCCCTCATGTCAAAACCCATTATTACTTTTGGTGTAGTCTAACTGCTTGGAGGGTGTGTGGATGTTTTGCTGACAGTGATTTGTGATTGCTCAGTTACAAACGAATTTGGAATTCTATCCTGATCTGTTAGCCAGGTAGCTGGTTTTCTGGGAGGGAAAATTAAAAAAATCTGAATCTACTTTTCTCTGGTTGAATGTGTTGGCATTTCTTTATAAAATAACAGATAATTGCTTAGTAAGTTACCGGTGTGTGTAATCACAACAAAAGACTCTAGACCTTCAGTAAAATGAGTGCCACTTGAAAGACATCTCTTTAAAGCAATACTCAAGATGGTTTGTAACAGCCAAACTAGGTTGAACAGGTTGGCCTTAAAGCCACTGTGTATTTTGAAGCTTGGGAAGTTCTGAAGTTGATGGAATTGGTAGCTTAAAGCAGTAATATTCTAGTGGTCTCTGCAAATAGAAGGTTCAATCACCAAAGTAATAGGAATTACTTCATAGCTCTTTGACACAAGCAGACCGATTTTGAGGACTAAAATGACTAAATCCAACAGTTCTCCTCTAATTTAGTATTTCTAATGGTAATGCTTCAGTTAAACTCAAGAGACAGGTATGCTCAACTTTCTTATTTAGGTAGGAGCAGCCATTATGTGCTGTGGATAGAATTCATTCTTGTGCCCCTAGTTGATAGCTGTTGTGCTTCTAAGTTTGCAAACATTAGCATATAGGAGAAGGGAGAGGCTGACTACCCAGAAATGGCTGTTGCAGCTTGCTTTCTGAAATGCCTCAGATAAAGCTTTGTGGATTTCCCAAGGGTCCCAAGCATTTCCAAAGTTATCTGGTACCTTTTACTAGCTGTATGTGTTCCAGGAGCAGTAGCCCTAATTATCAGGAAGCTAGACAAATCTGTAAGCATCAGAACTGCATAAATACTCCTTCAGTGCACAAAACTTTGCCACGATACAGTTCAGAAAGTGGATTTTTGAGCACTAGATTTTTTTTTTTCCCCTGAAAGCTCTTTAAGAGCAATAGTAACAATCGTGGTTCTGGAACCACGTTATATATGAAGTGTTCAAATGGTTGCTAATGCATACTCTCCCTGTATTAGAAATGGCACGTAACTGATTAATTTCTTGTAATATATTGATACTCTTGCATTAATATTGACTTGTTCTATTTTATAGATGAGATGTACCTTTGTTTTGATCCTAATTGATACTCTAAACTTAATCTTGGACAGCTTGTACCAAAATTTTACAGCATTATGCTTTAACTTAGTTTTTCTGCTTGATGTTTATCACAGTTGCCATATCTATTTATGGAAAGAAGCCATAATTGTCCTTCCTCCTCCTGCCCTTTAGGGAAAACAAAATGTGCCAATATAGTTCACTTGTAAAAGCACGGAGTGCTCTATCCCGTGGCGATTCTAGTGACTCCTTCTCTGTATCCTTTCAGGTTTGAATAAATTTTGTCAAGCGTGTATAGGACTGTGCATCTCTACCTGTACTGTCAGCATCTTCCTGGAATATCCCAGGATTTCATCTGTCACTTCTATGGCTTCATTCTGTAGATGAATCTCAGTCATCCTATGGTTAACCTTTTCTCAGCTTGAAGGCTTGCAAATGCTTAGCAGAGGTTTTTCTTAGATCGCTACTGTGACTTTGCAGTCCTTGAGTTTCATCCTGTGTTGTTTGCTGCAGGCCTTCAGGGTCAACTTGTCCTTTCTTTACTTTTTCCTTTTTTCTTTTTTTTTTTTTTCCTCCTGGTGGTAGTGTTCAATATTGTGTCATCATCTAAGCAGTTACGACGCATGACTATTTGTTGTTGTAGTCACTGACAGAAATATTTAATATAGGAATTTATTACAGAAATATTTAAGGAAATTTAATTCCAAAATTAATCCCTATGAAGCTGTGCTAATAACATTCCTCCAGCCATGTTTCCCATTTCAATGCAAATCACTATCTAGTTCCTAGCTCAAAAAATGTCAGTAGAATTGTGGAGTGGTTTGGGTTGCAAGGGACTTTTGAAGATCACCTAGCCCAACCTACTTGAAATGAGCAGGGACATCTTCAACTAGATCAGGTTGCTCAAAGCCCTGTCCAACCTGGCCTTGAATGCTTCCAGGGATGGGGCTTCTACCACCTCTCTGGGCAGCCTGTGCCAGTGTTTCACCACCCTCATTGTAAAAAAATTTCTTCCTTATAGCTAGCCTGAATCTACTCTTTTAGTTTAAAACCATTACCCCTTGTCTTATTGCAACAGGCCCTGCTAAAAAGTCTGTCCCCACCTTTGTTATAAATCCCCTTTAAGCACTGGCAGGCCGCTGTAAGGTCTCCCTGGAGCCTTCTCTTTTCCAGGCTGAACAACCCCAACTCTCTCAGCCTGTCCTCACAGGGGAGTTGTTCATCCTTCTGATCATTTTTGTAGCCCTCCTCTGGACCTACTTCAGCAGGTTGGTCTTGTGCTGTGGGCCCCAGAGCTGGACACAGTGCTCCAGGTGGGGTCTCACCAGAGCGGAGCAGAGGGGGAGAATCCCCTCCCTCAGTCTGCTGGTCACACTTCTTTTGATGCAGCCCAGGATATGGCTGGCCTTCTGGGCTGCGAGTGCACATTGCTGGGTCATGTCCAGTCCAGCTCTTTGTCCACCAGCACCTCTGTCCTTCTCCTCAGGGCTGCTCTCAATCCCTTCATAGCCCAGCCTATATTGATACTGGGGGTTGCCCTGACCCAGGTGCCAGGACCTTGCACTTGGCCTTTTTGAGCCTCATGAGGTTCACATGGGCCAACTTCTCAAGGTTGTCTAGGTCCCTCTGGATAGCAACCTGTCCCTCAAGGCGTGCCAGCTGCACCACTCAGCCTCATGTCATCTGCAAACGTGCTGAGGGTGCACTCAATTCTACTGTCTATGTCATTGATGAAGATACTAAACAGCCATGGTTGATGGAGTATGGTAATATTTAAAATTATGATATTGGATTGTCTATTACCAAGCTTTTAAAAATTCTGTCCTCTGTTGTCTGTTGTGTGACTGTGTGCTATTGTGTTTATGCACAAGAAGACAAATTAAGGCTGTGCAGGGAAGCTTGGCTTTTAATACAGTTCTGTTGCATGAAGCTTGTATACATTTAAACTGCTGCTATGAAAAGCTCTTGTTACAGTCTGTCAGAGGGGAAGAAAGAGTGAAGGGGAACTTGTGTTTCTGAGCTTCTGCTTTGCAGATACAGCATACCCTCCTTGAGGCTATGCGTACGTAACTGTCATCTCAAATATTCTAGATAAAAAGTACTTATTGTCAAGCACTTCTCTCAAGTGAGCTTCGTAATTATAATTAAGAATTACTCGGGTGTCAGCTCTCAGTTTAATGAGTACTCATCGTGGTAATTGTTGGAATACCTACCTGTGAGTACGATCACAGCTCTGTGTGGGTTTTAGTTAAAGTCCGGGCAGTGATGTCTTTGTGTATCTAAATTGCAATTCAGTATTGTTACTAATAGGTGTTTAACTAACACGGAGTTAAGAAATAGGCATTGAGAACATAAGCAGCCTTGAATCTATCTGAAAGTAAGACATCTTTCCTCTCCATTTTGTCTTGGTTAAGAGATGCCTTATGTGTATTTGATAAATCTGCCACTGTTATGGAAATACAGTATGTTGTGTCTTGGACTTCTGATGAACCCCAAAATATGGGACTTGTGGTCTGGCTTCTTCAAGCCTCTCTCTGCTACTTAGGCCCTTGCTGGCTCTGTCTTCTGACTGTTTTTCTGTCTGTGGGCATTGTGGGATCATGGTGAATGGGGGCTTGAACTCAATAGAAATAATATGCTACAAAATATAAAGGATGTTGAAGATAAATCTGCAGAGGGTCCTGTTGTTTGAATTGAGTGTCCAGGATCTAGAAACCTAATGTTAAGCCAAACCCTTTAGTTTCTTTGTATTCATTCAGCTTTTTAATATGACTTTTCATTTTTGAACTTTGCAGCTGAAACTTGATTTCAGGAACACTTAGCAGATTTTTCTTCATCTGCTTAAGGAATAATGTGATGTTAGAGCACTTAATTTTACCCTCAGTGTTAAGTGTTTGGTAACATTTCTACGTAAGTTCTTCATATAGTAGGAAATGTGAATGTGTGTGACACTTAGAACTTGATTTTTGTCTACTAGTGATATTTTCAGTAGATTGTTTATTAAGCTTTGAGTCTTCTGGAAATAAAGGTGTTCTTGATCCTTACTGTATTTTTTTCACTAAATTCCAGGAGAGGCTGTGATTAAGCAGTGATATGTTAGGCTTCGGTTTCCTCTTTTACTTTTTAAGCATGCGAATAGAACCACGGACTTGGTGGCGGGACTGAGACCTGTGTTATGGTGTACTTACTAACTTCAAAATTTTCATTTCAATGTTTGTAGTTGGTGTATGAATTTTTCCTGAGGTTTTTGGAGAGCCCGGATTTTCAGCCTAGCATTGCAAAGCGATATATTGACCAGAAATTTGTACAGCAGGTAAGTAGAGAGTTTTTCCACCCCCAGGTTTAAAGATCACCTCTCAAGCTTTAACTTATCAGATGACTGTACAGCTAAGGAGAATACAAAAGCTTTTATGCTGACACAGGGTTAAATTTTAGTTGTTCCAACAGTGGTTTCTGCCAAACGCTAAATAAACAGCACATCTTACCACTGCGTAATTAGTAGCTTCAGAAACACTTTGTTTTCAGATACCAACCTCAGTGCTTTGCAATGCAAGATATTTGTAATTTGTAAATACAAATTGTGTTTTTAATGATTCGTAACTTATTTCCAGTCAAATCAACAATGTGCTAATTAAATTTTTCGAGTGTTTTTGTTTGGTTTTTTTCACGATTTATCATGGGAAAACTTGCAGCAAACTTTTTTCCTGTAAAAAGTTTGTGTACTTACCGTACATGAAATGTGTTCCAGCGTCTGCTAACTTGTGACTAGATAGTGTCATTCTCTACTTTCGTGTGTAACCACAGAAGGAAAATCAAGTAAGAAAATAAGTGTAAAAAAAAAAAAAAATATGGTTCACCACACAAAGTAGGTATAAGCAAGAAAGTGAAGTGCGATTTCATGTTAAATATAACTTAAGGAATTAGGCTGTAGAATACTGTAACAATTTTTGTTCAAGGTTAACTCAGTGGGGATTTTTTTTACCATGTCAAAACACTTGTTTGTCAAGGAAAAGATCAGTATCTGAAGAGTGAGTGCTGACAGGCCATCACAGTACAGCAATGAAAAATAAAACCATAGATGGACACTTTCCTTCCCCACTTTCAGTGACTGCATTTAAGTTACACTTGTTCGGTTTTACTGTTCTTGTTTATAGGTGTGTCTGTCTTCTATGTTTTATTCAACTTTCCTACAAAATTTAGGCCTGAGGCTGGTGAACTGATGGCCTTGGGTATACAATTTACTAATTGACCCATGGCTTTTAAAATCCATGGGTCTTAGTACAAAAGTACAAGAAAGACAACGCAATGAACAGCTAGCTATATATGGTAGGAAAAAAGTGGAGTAGTGACCCTGAGAAATTCTTTCTAAATATAAAAATGAAATGAGCCTGACAAAATTCCTGAACAGCTGTTTGATGTAGACATACCTAAGCTCACAGAGGTGGACTGAGCAGGACGCTGTAGTGACTGCTTGAGCTAAGTTACTAACTTGTTTAGCTCAGTTAGCATTTCTGAATATGCTCTTACTTGGACATGCAGGGAAAAAAATCCTAAAATAATGGTCTATAATGGGATTGGAATATCTTTTGATGTCTTTGAGGTGAGTATGGGTTTTTCTGTATCCTTGGAAAACTTTCTACAAGAAAAAAATGTGTGGAATATCTTGCTAGCTTATTGCGGCGTTTCCTAGAATCACAGAACAGTTTGGGTTGGAAGGGACCTTAAAAATCATCTAGTTCCAACCCCCCTGCCATGGGCAGGGACACCTTCCACTAGACCA